AGGTGTGTGTGGGGAGTCTGCGGGGGGGGGGGGTGTTCTGGGCACCACCAAAATTTCTACAAACCTGCCGTCCCTGCTACCAAAGAATGACAGTTGGAAAAACAGCACGAAAGGAAGCCAGAAAGCATTGGAGGGGTGGGACACAAAGTGGTACATGACAGTACATTTTGCACATCCCAGGATGCACTGCGCTCCGTTTCCACAGTCACAAAACACCTAGCGATGGATGGCGTCACCAGGCACTGTGGGATACACACTCACAGTGCATTGCTCTTGCTGTCGACAAAGGTGCCCCAAATGTGGACACGATCTGTCGACAGAGGGAGCAAATGTAGACACAGTTTGGCGACCTTGCTTTTGTCTATTTTTTCCTTGGCAACATTAGTTTCATCAACAAAACTTGCCAGTGTAGCCAAGCCCTAAGTGGAAGGATAATGCAGTAGTTAGGACACTAGCTAACTTGGGCCACAGGACACCTGAGTTCAATTCCTTGCTCCACCACCAGAGCAGTTCAATTCCTTGCTCCTGTGTGACTTTGGGTGAGTTGCTGTCTCTCTCCTGGGCCTCAGTTAGTCTTCTGTAGAATGGCAATAATAACGCTGCCCTACTTCACAGCGGTGTTGTGAAGACTGCGGTGCTTGCTGTTATAGTAGTGGGAGGGTCAAAAGTACCCTAGATAAATAAATGAAGAGAGACTTAGCCCACTGGAGGAAAACAGTCATGTAGATTCTGCAACATTTTTGAAAAGTAAAATAGTTTCCATTGGTGTTTTTTGACCTAAATTCACCATTCTCCCCTCCTCCCCTTCCCTTTTCTGGCTTGCTTGGGTCAGAAAGCTGAGTGTTATAATTTGCAGATAATTTTTAGAGGAATGGTGTTAATCCCTTGTGTAGTAAAAGGATATAAAGGGACAGCAATGAGGTCTGTCATTATAGGATTATGATGCCATATTTAAATATACAGAAAGAGTAGCACCAGGATAGAACAATACTTCAAAGTGGAAGCCAGTTGGTAAAGTATCTGTTGACTTAGCTCTGTGGAAATTAGAGGTGCTCGAACAAGTTGTGGTGATAATGGCTGCCTGGACCACTGTTAACAGAAAAGTAAATAGTGTTCTGGAGTGTAGCAACCATGTTGCTGCATTTTGTTTTGTTTTGTTACCACTATCTTTATCCTCACTTTTACTAGGTAAGAGATGTGACACCATGACGAGTCACACAAAAGACACTGTAAAACATCTGAACTTTTTAAATCAACATTTATATGAAGTCACTTTGAAATTCTGTGTCTCTTTGTAAGATAAAAGAAAAACAGCCAACAGCACTCACTCTTCCCAGCTTGCCCCTCAAGCTGTTATATGTAGGCACTGCAGTTGTAGTCATGTTGGTCCCAGGATATTAGAGAGAGAAAGTGGCTGAGGTAATATATTTTATGGATCAGCTTCTGTTGGTGAGAGACACAAGCTTTCAAACTTTCACAGAACTTGTCTCTCTCCCTAACAGAAGTTGGTGTAATAAAAGATATCTCACTCACCTTCTCTGTCACTCTATTAAGCATTCTTGGCTCATTGCTAACTAAACAAAATCCAGAGGGCTCACCACAATCAAGTTTTCAAATCATGCTAAAGGGGGCAAATGGGGATCTAACACATTTTGACCAGTCAGCATTAAAGGGAATGATTAGTATTAAGATGATATTCAAAACCCCAACACATGGTGTATAGATCAACCATGGAACCAAATGGGGTTAAAAGTGAGTTTGAAGCATATTTAAGCCTTTTTTTTTTTAGCCCAGCTGTAAAAGCCAGTAGAGATGAGACTAAGCTCAGGAACATGTTACTGTTATTTAGGCTCAGACTTAAACACTTGACAGGCATGGTAATGCAAATGTCATAATTTGAGGAAGTGGAATGTATGCATGAGTTTCCATGTGCTTTCTGAAGCAAAAGGGAGACGTTGGCAGTGAGATTCCCCAGCACTGACTTTTGTTTTGCTTTCCTTTAAATGTTGCAGTGCAGTCATTATGAAGAACATAGCTTTTCAGGAGTGGCTCTGATTCTCCTGCCAGTTACAGCAGTTTTACCATGACAGAACATCACTTTCTTCAGTGGAGTTATACCTGAGTTACACAAGCGGGAGAGAGGTCAGAAGGATTTGGATGGACCTTATTGGGGAACTGATCCTGTGGGGATTGGTGACAGTGCCAAAGAAGAGGAAAATCACCAGAGAAGTCACACCACCATGCCCTTTGACCATTTCTGAACATCAGGACTCAATCGAGTTGGAGTGGAGGAAACCAGCATTTCAGTGCATCCACTACACTTCATTGCTCATCTACCCATCAAGCTTTGCAAGAGGGTCTATCCCAGTATATAATCAAATCTCTTCACTTTTATATAAGCTAATTAAGAACATGTAACCAGATCATGGCCCTGAGATCTCACCTCCCAAATGCAAGGAATTCATATTTCCCAAGTCTCCAGGAAAGTTCTGATGAGTCAGATGCTTTAAGCAATGTCTCAGGATTATTGGACATGTCATTTGAGGCATCTTCCAGGATAGCAAGTGCTTGTGTGTAAAACAGCATTGCACATGTATAGTTCTATATAAAATACTAATAGAGGAGACAACCTCCAAATGTTGAAGAACTTTCCTTAATGCTAGTGGAGGTTTGAGCATGATGTCAGATGCAAAAACAAGAAAATGGCCATATTCTGAGAGGTGTAATTTTGTTTCCTGCTGTAACAGACACATCTCATCTTTGGAGGCATAACTGATTTGTTAAAATATGTATTTATAAGGATGAGAGCAAACACAGCCATATTTTTATTGATAAACTTTAAACAGCCTTGTACATTAATAAATTCATTTTCTTAGAAAATGACCAAGAGAAGAGATTTTTAGGTTCAAGGTTAAAAAAATACTTTTGCAGCATTACTTAGAAATTAACGTTTTTACAATAAATAAGTCCTACTGGAACCATCAAGACCAATATAGAAGTCTAAACTGAATAACTATTCAATAATATATTTGTGACTCATGTCCTTCCTCATAGGTTGAGCTGGAAGTGATTTTAGCTACTTCATCTGATGAATAGGCTTTAACAAAGTCTTAACTTTCTAGAATGTAGTCGCTTTTTCTTCATTGAACAATAATGTGTAAAAGATAATACAGAATTGTAACTTCACTTCTTAATAGCAAACACTGTTTCTGGGGTTGGGCATATCTTCCTGGATATCTCACTTCAGCTTAAACTCATGTATCCAAAACTTAACTCCTTATCTTTCCTCCCAGCTTTTCTCTACTGCTCCATTCCCTGGAGAGGCGTACTCAGAGGCATGAGCTTTAGGGGTTATGTGTGTGTGTGTGCAAACGCATGTATTTTTAAAATACAAAATGTCTTTTTGTCTTATTCATTATTTTATATTGACACTCACTTACAGTCTATAATCATCATGCGTAATGAACATCAGGACTGCATTTTACTTGCCCCCCCCCAATGTTTGGATACAGACTCCCACATCACGCTGAGCCCTGTTTCCAAACCACCTCTGCAATTCCAAGTTCAACTATGAGTAATAAACCGTTTACTGTTTCTTTATTGTGTTACTGCCTCCTTATATTCTATTTTATTGTTTGTTTACTTGTACCTGCATCAGAGTCTAACAGAACATCTTTCATTGCAAAAGAAAAGGTGATGGTCGCGGACAGGAAATATGCCTCTATTTTTACCTAAGCAAACCACTCTTGTTTCAAGAGTATAGGAGGTTAACTTTCCTCTCCAACTGTGTCCTTTGCCTGTCTTTGACTCTTAGAGCAGGAGGGAAGAGTTTAGCCATTTCTCACTATGCTAAACAGGTTCTAATACCCCACACATTGCGGTGGTATGAGAACCTTCCACTGGTGCATTACGGGACCTGACTAGCATCTGTCAAGTGTGGTTCTTTCCCACCATCACCATGTATATCTTCACTGTCCTCTCCCCCTAGAGTCACTGTCATCTTTCGTACAATCTGAGGCTTACTGTTTCACCATTTTATTCTCTGTTCCACATTATACGGTTACAAGTGTTGTGAATTTTGTGCAAGTACCCTCTCAAGAATTCTTATTCTTTTAATAAATCTAGCATCAATTTAATCAAATATCTGAGATTTCTATTCTTTGTACCAATATTCAACTGATGAAAATCTGTCAGTAACCACAGTATCAAATACACTGGAATAAAGTATTTAATGCAGCTGAGTGTAAGTCACTGTTATATCATGGGGAGAAATCCCTTACGTGTGTACACACCAGTGTAAAGATATTTTATACAATATGAAATCCAGTGTTTTGTGCCATATTGCATGAGACAAAATTTAAAATCACAATACAGGTTAGATGAGAGTAAAGAGTTGAAGATTCAGCCAGTGCAAAGAGGGAGGAAGATAGACATTTTCAGAAAATGAAATGTATCAAATCAACTTATTACAATAGTTCTGGAGAGTTAAATGACTCAGGGCATTGAGAAGGTGCCATTCATTTCCAGTTAATTGATATGAAATTGGCCCAGGCCACTACTGACAGTGATTTAGTTGCACATGTGAAATGAATTAGGCTCCCAGCAGAGATCCTCATGTGTCTTCACTGCAACTGGCACCATTGTTGGCATGCTGAGACTGAGGCCATGTCTGTATTACAATGGCACAGCTACAGTGCTGAAGCTATAGTGTAGACCAGAGGAAGTCAATTTTTTTTATCAAGGTCCAAATTTCTTGGTCAAGGTATAGTCAAGGTCCAGATTCCAGAGAAAATAATAAAAAATAACAACAATAATGATAATAAGTAAATACAAATACTTTGCGATCTGTTCAAAAGCATCTGGTGATCTGGATTTGGCACACAGTCCGCCTATGACATAGATACTTCCTATATTGATGGAAGAGGGTTTTCCATTAATGTAGGTAATCCACCTCTTCAAGAGGTGGCAGCTAGTTTGACAGAAGAATTCTTCTTTTGACTTAGCTGAGTCTACAGTGGGGGTTAGGTCGACCTAACTATACTCCAGAGGGAGTGAATTTACAGCCCTGGGTGATGTAGCTAGACGAATCTAAGTTCTAGGTATAGACCAGGCCTGAGTAGACAAGAAAGTGTACTGCCCTGTCCACTTGCAAGTGATCTCTACAGAACAAATGCAAGGAGGGCATTGTAAGGAAGCTTACATTGTTGCTTTTCTATTGATGACAAGGGGTCTTCAGTCTCTGAAGTTAACAATTTGGCACTTTTGCAAGAACTAAAGATATTAATTTTTTTTAAAAATCTGCTAAATAGTGATAATGGGGGAGGGAAGTGATACGGTATAACTCATTTGTTAAGTTGAGTTTGGTGCATTTGTACCTCATGTATTTCATTACATAACTGGGACATTCAAAGCAAACTTGATCAGACTTCAGCATTCGTGCAAAAGCATCTTCCTGGGTGGATCCTTATGCTCCAATGGTGTCCCACTGACTTCAGCAAGACTCTGCAGAGGCATAAGGATCTTCCCATGTAAAGATTCCTTTGCAAGATTGGGACTTTAGGATGCAACAAATAAACCACTGCAAAAATTTAGATCAGAGAGAATTCAACATTCTGTAATACTCCATTCAAACGACATTGACTCATACAGTAAACAACACAAATGCAGCACATGAAGTAAAAACTGTACCCACAACAAGGTGAAACAGTGCAAATACTTTGTTTTAAACCAAAACATACCACAGATATACACAACACAAATGCACTGTTTACATTTTGCAATATAAATAGACTTGACAGAACTAAATCTGTGAATATAGGAAACTACAGAATAATAGTACTAAACAATTTGTATTTACTAGGGAATACAACACAATTATAGAAAAGATCAGACCATCACTGCCAGAAATGGCTGTAAAGTATTTCACAAGATTATACTGGAAGGAAACTAAAATAGTTTTTCTTTAAGTTTTGCTTTTAAAAATATTAAGGCAATCTCACAAAAGTCAAGCTAGGCCCTCACCCTGCAAGGAGCACTGTGTGGCAGATGCTTGAATCTGTGCAGAGACCCAGGATTCTGCCTACTTGGAGCTTATTGCAGGAGTGGGGCTTTTAATAATAATTAACCATAAGCATTGCAACTTGTAGCTTTTAGCTACCTTTGCATATAACATTTGTTTACCTTCCACTTCCTCCCTCCTAATTGTTTAGCACCAAAATTCAGTTTTCTGCTAATGATGCATCTATTTCTCACTAAACTGTATAATACAATATAGATAGTAGAATAATGCTTCTAATTAGCATATAATAAAAGTAAAAAACAATCACAGATTATTTCAGTTAAAGTAATTCTGATATGAGCTTATCTGCATTTTTAACATTTTTAAAATAGAGTTTATACATAAAAACCTTTTGGAATTCCGTTACAGTTTGAAAGACAAGTGGCATTTAATTTGATCTTATACACAATTACACAAACTAAACTAGAATGCTGAACCATTAACCTCTTCAGGTGCTATAGTTTCCATCTTCTTAAAGCAAGGGCTGTGCTACAACCATAACAAATGGTTGTTGCAAAGGCAAAAATCTGCAGAAGAAAGCGAGATGAATCACATATGAGATTTCTATTACTGCTCTTCAACTTTTCCCACAACCACATTTTACAAGGAAGCTTCAGAATCCCCCCCCCCCACCCAGTTAGCCAGAAAGCCATGATGAAGATTGGTTGTGACCCCCTGAGACCCTATCATGATCCTCAGGTTGAGAACCTATGTGCTATTGCTTTGACAACATTTTGTCAAAAGCATCAAATCCTGACATCACTTTGCTACTTTGTAACTAAAGTAGGTCTTTTACCTAGGTCCTGGTGCAACCCTCTTAAATACTTATTTTTATACCTTGTAATCAAGTTTCTTCTCATTATCAAGGATGAACACAGTCATTTGACTTTTGTTTCTATTAGTATTTCATTTCATTCATCTCCAAATTAATGCATCTGACTCCAGCAAACATAAACTGAGGAGAAAGCTACCACTAAAACAATATGGTATCAACATTTATTATTTACTTGTGGAAATGGGCACTTTTTTTTTTTTTTTTTGATCATTGAAGATAATCAGCCACTGGAATAGGTTACCAAGGGATGTTGTAAAGTTTCTAGCACTTATGGTCTTTAAATAAGGACCGGATGGATGTCTTTCTGTAAGATGTGTGCTAGCTTAATCGCAAGTTGTTTTGCTGGAGGAATCGTAAGGTGAAATCTATGTTTGTGTTCATCCTAGAAATTATACTAGATGGCTCTATGAATGCATTTGTGAAGAACTAGGGAGGATGGAAACTAGGAGGGATTTATTTATTAAATTGAAACACTTTCTGATGTGTTCCAGGTCAGAATGATGGAGACCTGCCTCTCCCTCTCTCTCCTGGGAGTCACTTAGATTATTACATCCTACCCATACTAAACATGCTTTGAGTGAGATAATGAATGTTTGGAAAACAGATGCTAATAATTGCTGGGACTATTACTTTTTTAAAAAGAACCTACACACATGCCTTCATCTATAATATAAACAGCTGGAAGGTCATTGTCTTGACAGCAGCTATTTAGCAAGACTTTAATTTTTCTGTTTTCTCTATGCAGTCTTTAACATTTTCTTGGTTAATGGCAGCAAAAATGAACATGTGACAAGATGATAATTATTTTCAGACATACTTGGGGAACAGCTGTGAAGGAGCTAGGGATCAGAGCTCTTCTGTTTGGCTCTTCTTCCCCACATCCCATCAGCACTGTGTGGGGCCTAGAGACTGGAGCTTCTTCCCCACGTACAGCCAGAACAGCCCAATGGGGAGCTTCACAATACCCCCCAACCCACTACAGCTCAGCAGAACTATGAGAAAGGCAAGAATTCTGCATACTAGGTGGAACTTTGCATCACACAAGCATTACAGCAGTGCTCTAGGAGCTACACTGGCTCCTCATAAGTTTCTGGGTAGAATTCAGGAAGCTGACCTATTAAACAGACCTGACCGATTTGGGACATGGTTAATCTCTATTCCCAGGTGTTAGGATATAGATATTCAGGCCTGTCTGTAAAGGCCTATACTCTAAGAATTTAGGTGTATTCTTATCACTTGGCTAGTGATAGAGGTATAAAAGAAAGAATCAAAACCACTGTCTGCCAGTGTAAGGGCCTTCTCTTACTGTGACAGTTTGTGGCCCTGTTCTTAGGCTCAGGCCTTTGGCTAAGCAGCAGAGGCAGCCATAAGCTGGGAAGCGAACGGTCACATCCTCACATTCCAAACTAGTCACATTGAAATAAGGTGCTATTGGGCTGTTAGGCACTATCAGGACAGGATTGTATTCCTATCACCTCCAGAGAAAGGGAAGTGCCTAGAAAATGTAAAAGGAAACTTAGTTTGATAGCATCCTGTCTGGCAAGAACTCACTTATCAATAGCTGGGATGTGAAATCCTCACTTCTGTATTGTTTTGTCATTATAGTTCCCACTTTGCTGTTGTTTGTCTGTATAATCTCTGTCTGGTTCTGTGATTGTTCCTGTCTGCTGTATAATTAATTTTGCTGGGTGTAAACTAATTGAGGTGGTGGGATATAATTGGTTACATAATCATGTTACAATATGTTAGGATTGGTTAGTTAAATTTCAGGAAAATGATTGGTTAAGGTATAGCTAAGCAGAACTCAAGTTTTACTATACAATCTGTAGTCAATGAGGAAGTGACTGGGTGTGGGTGGGGGTGGGCATGTGGGTGTGTGAGATGGGAACAGGGAATGGGGGTAAGAAAATTGGAATCATGTTTGGCTAAGGGTAGGAATGGGAACAGGGACACAGGTGTAAGGCTCTGTGGTGTCAGAGCTGGGAAGGAGGATACTAAGGAAGGAAAGGGGGGGGAGGGATAGCTCAGTGGTTTGAGCATTGGCCTGCTAAACCCAGGGTTGTGAGTTCAATCCTTGAGGGGGCCATTTAGGGATTTGTGGCATAAATTGGGGATTGGTCCTGCTTTGAGCAGGGGGTTGGACTAGATGACCTCCTGAGGTCCCTTCCAATCCAGATATTCTATGATTCTATGATGAAACTGGAATCATGCTTGCTGGAAGTTCACCCCAATAAACATCGAATTGTTTGCACCTTTGGACTTCGGGTATTGTTGCTCTCTGTTCATGCGAGAAGGACCAGGGAAGTAAGTGGGTGAAGGAATAAGCCCCCTAACACCAGGCCATACTGCCTCAGCTGGAGCTGCCTTGTTATAACTGGGAGGATGCTGCTTGTAGAGGAATCTCAATGAGCTTCCTAGACTTTGAAACTAATTCTTCACATCAAGACCCACTGCAGCCTGCATCTGTCAAGCTGCAAAGCTCCGTAATTTTTTTTGTCTTTCAGAGAGGATGGGCTGAGCACTGGAGCAATTTATTTGTTTTATCTTCATATCAGCTGGTAGATAGTTATGTCTAGGTGGGTTGAGCGTCCTTTATCATTTTTGTCTTGTGTATTTTAATTTTTGTGATGGACACCTATAGAGGTTTTTAATAAGCTTAAATAAACGTATATGATCCTATGATCTAAACAAGACACTGTTAGAAGGCGTAAAAACTAAGAACAGTACTTCCAATCCCTTGTGCTAAACCCATTGGCACACATCTATGGAAAAGGTAGCATTGTTCAAATGCAAAGGAAAACACCTAATAATTGAGCCTTCACTTCCACCGACTAGTATGCCTCACTCTAAATGTTCCCTTATGATCATATATAAAGAACATTATTCTGTAGTGTAGCAAATACCTACCACACAGTAACAACTTATTGGGGCGGGAGAGAAATAAAAAAAATTAAATTATCAATATGTGAATATTCGGTGCTGTGTAACACACAAAAACAGACAGTCCCTTCCCCGAAAAGTTTACATTCCAGTTAGCCATTAGATTGGTTGGGTAGCTAAAAAGGGTTAAAACAGACTTCCATCTCTTGATGTATATCTATGAAATACTTACTGAGGCTGCTATGCTTATGTTATAGTCTTGATCGCTTAGCAACACGGTGGCATTTGATGGACATCGATAATTATGCAGAGATGTTGTTGCTGCTTGCAATAAAAAGGCTCCAAAATAAAAGACAAAAGTAGCCGCATGGAAAAGAAAATCCTGAAAAGAAAGTGACAGAATTAGGCTATGTTGTAACTGATTGGATATGTGCATTCTTCCTAACCAATCTCTAAGTTTCAGTGCAAACAAAATGCAAACAAAAAGCAAGCTTAGAGGTGCCATATAGAAGACTTTCAGATCATTCACCTAAAATTAATGTCATCAGAGTGCAGCCATATTACAATGCAACACATCATAGTAAGAAACTTTTTAATCTTTATATCCTAAAAAAGTATACAAGGTGATACTACTCAGTTATGTTACTGTAGAATACTAAAAACAAAAACAACAAAACCCACACCTTTAAAATAAATACTGTATAGCTTGACCTCTTAAGTGATCTACGTCAGCAATTATGTTGCCATGTTTTAAGTCACATTTGCAATAACGGCTATAATAACCCAGCAACTTTGTTACTAAAAAAGCAACAAGAACCACTATTTAAAAGTAGTATGATGCATACCATATTTAGAGTAAAACACAAAGCACATCCTATTACTCTTCTCTCATGCACACTATATTGTGCACATTTGTGTATACAAACATTTGCTATTTACATTCATTTAAAGAGGTGTATTAAGTGTCAGTTTTAATTTCTCTCTCCTGAGTCCTGTACATTTCAGCTCCAGTCACTAAGAGTCTGACTTTCCAAGCTGAGGGAATACAATAAAGCTTTTAAAACCTCCCTAAAATATTTCTGTTTCTATTCTGTAAAACACAGTGTACAGAATCAGGGTGGATTTGATTTAAATCACTGGTCAGGAAGACTCAATTTAATCATGAATTTCTACATAAAAGTGCATTCTTTTTGCTTGTTATAACCTTAATACATATTCTTCACAATTCAGAGATCGATGTAGGTTTCATTTTTAGAAGGTACACACTATACATTTTTAAGTGATTTATTTTGAAAACTTTTCAGACTAGTTTTACAGCTGTATCAGAAAATGAATGATTGTTTAGTTATTTCATTTACCAAAGGTAACTGAAGCAGGTATTTATGAAGTCAGTGGGAGGTGAACTATCTCCAGTTCAACAGGTTAATCATTAATATTTGGAGGATTTTCTTGCCATGCTGTATTAGGAGGAGAACATCACCAGACAGACATTTAAATTGTTTTATTTAACTAAAACAACAATGTTCTGTATTCTGGATTTTTTTCTTCAACATCAAATATATAATATTTTAACAAAACAAGCATATGACTTTTTGAAATTTAGTTAAACATTCAAGTTTTTTAAAATCAGGTTTGTTTTTGTTAAGATTTTTAACTAAAATAGTTAAATGAAATATTTAAAAAACCAACAACAAAAATTAAATTGACTGTGTCAGCAAGGTCAACATGAGAAACTTAAAATATTGGCTTCTGCAGCTAACTCAATCACCTTCACCTTCATTTTCCTGTGTGTTCATAATCTGGAAAAGAAAAACAAGCTTTCCTGCTTTTTCAGGTCCCAAACGATTTCTCAGTTTGGAATGAATTAGTCCAAAGGAAGAAAACATTCTTTCTATACCGGCAGAAGAAGCTACTGCTGTTAAAAGTGAGATTATCGGTTCAACAGTCTCTGAATCCAAGTGTTTAAGTGACGTCCTCCAGTTCACTGCTGTGACTTTCTTTAAAACATCATCAGCAAACATATATTTCTCGAACAGTTCACCCTTAGCTCTGAAGTTTATTATAGTTGGCATTATGGAGGGATGATTGCTGGTTGTCCATGTCATAGCCAGCTCTTCTTCAGCAGTTAAGGTTTGACCCTGGTACCAAGTATTGAGAATATTTGCAAGAAAATGAGCTGAACATAGTGCTTGTCTCATTCATTTTTTTTAATGCTTGTAATTTAACTCTGTCATTGCATATTTTCTTTTTAAGATCTTACTCAGTTCCTTCCAAATTTCAACAGCGTCAGCAATAAACAGCTATTTCCCTGCATTTTGTTCAAGGCTACGGAAATAGGCTTCAGGGTACTCAGCATGTGTTCAGCCTTTCTCTTAAGCCCAGTGTTGAGAACTTTGGCTGTGACAGTGCCACCTATTTTTTCACGATTTTGTTCACAAACTGTCATCAGATTAGGCCAGTTCTTGATTCAGTGCTCAAAACAGTCCACTACTGAGTTCCATCGCATGTCTTGTGGGAGAGTTAGCTTGGTTCCTCCCACTTTTTTCAGAGCAGCTGCTGCAAAGTGGTTGTTACAGAAGTATTTTGCAATTTCAACATCATTAGCTTTTATTTCTGGAACACTGAAGTCTTTGGCCAGGAGGTGCATCAAATGAGCACTGCAACCGTATGTTATTAGCTTGGGAACTCTCTTCACTTTCTTCTAAATAATTTCTTCTCATCTTGGATACATTTGCAGCATTGTCTGTGGCCAAGCTGCGTACTAGACATCTGAATTTTTTTTCCACAGTTTGTTATAGCTTTTTCCGCTACTTCTTGTAAGTATTCTGCTGTGTGAGCATTTCCTGATGTATCAATTGTTTCTGTAAGGAAGACATTCCCTTCTTCTGTTGTCACAAAAGCACATACAACAGAACCATTGTGCACATTGCTCCACCCATTAAGACTCAGGTTAACAATTTTACCCTCTAGACCATTCACACACTGCTCAATTTCTCTTTCATACACTTTATCCACAATTTGCCTATGACATCTGCTCTGTTGGGTGGACTGTATCCTGGTCTTAATGACTGAACCATGTTAATGAAGCATGGGTTCTCAATTGTACGGAAAGGAGAGTCTGTTGCATAAACAAACAGAGCAATTTTTTCATCAATTACCTCTTTTTGTAATCTGCTGGTTCTTATCACAAACTTATATATGGTTGTTTCTGGATGATGGAGATTTTTATTTATTTATTGTTTTTGCTACCATGGCTATGTGACATACATGATGTGACTGAAACACGATCATTGGCAGATAACTCTGAAACTATAGAAAATGATAGTGATCTTGAAGGTGGATAGTCTTCAGAATCCTTTATGTTGAAGATGGATTCTCCTAAACAAAATAAGTCAATGCAGTTATTTAATTATTATTACCATACTGCTCATTTAGTATTACTCACTGCATTCACTGACACCTGGTACTACTTTAAAGGTGAAATTGTAAAGGGAAGATCTGCCTATTTCAGCTATTTATTTTTTATCAGAACTGCATCTAAAATGATAGTACCATAGAGTAACAACTATATTTTTTGCTCAAACATGAGAATTCAAGAACAGTCCAGAAGGAAGACAGGCAGTCCCTAAGAAAGAAGTATGAAATAAAAATATTTACCAACCTGAAGATCCTGCATGTTCAGACATGTTCCTTTCGTCATCTTCAATGCAGCTTCCTCCTGAGAAGGAACACTTCTCATGATGTTGTTTCATTTGGGCAACCAGGCTTTGCATTTCTTTGTGGCACTGTTTGCATTTTGCACGCGTGCCTGTCTTACCCACGGAAAGAGGAACTTCATTAAAATATTCCCAAACTGGGTCTCTTTTACGGCCTGCTGCCATTATAAGTTTTCCCTTCTAGTGAGAGAATGGTATTGGTAGATCTCAAATCAATGAAGGCTACACTCAGAAAGACCTCAAGACTTCTGGAATATGCTGCTCAAACAGTCTCACTTTTGTTTCTACTGCCTATCCCTCCCTTCTCACATTTATCTCCAGACTCCTTCCTGTCCAAATGTATTCCGCGTCCAACAATCTTCTAGTCATTGAACTTTTTGAAACTTTCCACTTTTAGAGAGAGGTAAGGGATTGACTCTGTGTACACAAATTTGCAGAGGGACAATAAGGTTCAGGTCTGTTATTTCTCACCTCTATATATTATTTATTTATTTATTTAAAACCGTTTTTGCTGTTAACAAGCATGTTATCTCTGGAGACACAGATCCACAGTTTGAGAACAGCAAAACTAAGCATCTCTCATGGTATCTTCTAGACTGAGCACTGAGTCCGATTGGGTAGATAGAAAGATTAACCTAAATAATCTATACATAAGACCCTGGAACCTCATAAGATTGGGTCCCTAATCCATGAACTATTGGAACTCATTTACAAAACTTTTCTTAAACATTACATGAATATATTGTCTCATACTATAGAATTAGAATGTATAATCCCTATTCCATGATGCCCAAATAAATCTGTTATCTTTAAGGTGCCACCGGACTCCTCATTGTTTTTGTGGATACAGACAAACATGACTACCCCTCTGTAGTAGTACACAGGAGAGATATTTTCAAAAGAGAACCTGTCATTTTCCTCCATCCAGATGCCAAACACTCTAACTTCCCTGGCAATAGTTACAGTGAAGATATGTATCAACAGTAAGGTTCTATCCAGGACATGACGTCTGTGATCCAAAACCTAACTGTTTACTGTTCGGGTTTTTAAATAAAAAAGCATGGTGCCCAATACTCCACTGCTTTACACTCTGCATAATCACTTAAGTCTTGTGCAAAGTGTGTGTAAAATACCACCAGATCAGAAGGGAATGGTAGCTTACACCTAGTTTGTGCAGATGTAAATGGCTACACAATATGTAGGGCAGTAGAGAATAAAGTCTATGGTCTTTGCACTAACATCTGGTTCAGTATAGAGCAGGGAAGGGCCGGTGCAACCACTAGGCGAACTAGGCGGTCGCCTAGGGTGCCAAGCGGTTGGGGGCGGCCAAAAGCGCGCTGTCATAAATATAAAGGGAAGGGTAAACACCTTTAAAATCCCTCCTGGCCAGAGGAAAAACCCCTTTCACCTGCAAAGGGTTAAGAAGCTAGGATAACCTCGCTGGCATCTGACCAAAATGACCAATGAGGAGACAAGATACTTTCAAAAGCTGGGGGGAGGGAGAAAAAAAGCCTCTCTCTCGGTCTGTGTGATGCTTTTGCCGGGGACAGAACAGGAATGGAGTCTTAGAATTTAGTAAGTAATCTAGCTAGATATGCATTAGATTCTGATTTCTTTAAATGGCTGAGAAAATAAGCTGTGCTGAATGGAATGGATATTCCTGTTTTTGTGTCTTTTTGTAACTTAAGGTTTTGCCTAGAGGGATTCTCTATGTTTTCAATCTAATTACCCTCTAAGGTATTTACCATCCTGATTTTACAGAGGTGATTCTTTTTACTTTTTCTTCTATTAAAATTCTTCTTTTAAGAAACTGATTGCTTTTCCATTGTTCTTAAGATCCAAGCGGTTGGGTCTGTGGTCACCTGTACCCTACAGTTCAGAGTGGGGAAGGAACCTTGACACGCGTTCTGGGGAGGCGGTGGAGCGGAGGTGAGCTGTGGCAGGGGGGCATGGGGAGAGCCGCCTGCAGCAAGTAACAGGGGGCGGGGGGCGCACAGGAGAACCGCTCCCCGCCCCAGCTCACCTCTGCTCTGCCTCCTCCCCTGAGCACGCCGCCCCACTCTGCTTCTCTCCCTCCCAGGCTTGCACGCCAAACAGCTGATTGGCGCTGCAAGCCTGGGAGGCGGGAGAAGCGGCAGCGTGCTCGGGGAGGAGGCGAAGCAGAGGTGAGCTGGGGTGGGGAGTTGCTGCACGCGGCTCCCCGGGCCGAGGGGAGGGAGGGAGAGAGGGGGCAGAGGGGAGCTGCCGCGGGGGGGCGCCTCAGGGCGGAGGGGGGGGCGCAGAGCTGCTGCAGGGCCGGGGGTAGGCAGGCACAAGGTGGAAGTTTCGCCTAGGGTGCTAAACATCCTTGCACCGGCTCTGGAGCAGGGGATCTCAAACTGGGGGTCGGGACCCTTCAGGGGGTCACAGGGTTATTACATGGGGGGGGTCACGAGCTGTCAGACTCCACCCCAAACCCAGCTATGCCTCCAGCATTTATAATGGTGTTCAATATATAAAAAAGTGTTTTTAATTTATAAGGGGGAATCGCACTCAAAGGCTTGCTATGTGAAAGGGGTCACCAGTACAAAAGTTTAAGAACCACTCGGAGCAACACAACTTCCTTACTCATGCTGAGTTAGTGTCTTACTCCCATGAGTAATCACACTAGATTGAATAGGGGCAATGTAGGAAGTAAGGACTGTTCAGTGTAAAGTTGGCAGAACCTTACCCTAAAAGTGCTACTAATTTGCATCCAGGAGAGTTAAGTTTGGAGGGTTTAAAAATGGTTTTAAACTATTTTTATTTTAAAATAAAAGATACTAGACTCTTCTTATAATTTTCCATTACAAACAATAATAATTAAAATAATGTGCCAGGACTTTTCCCATTTTTGGCCTTATCAAACCACTAGCCTTAATTAGCCATTCTGAATTCCATGCCAAAGTTTAGTTTCTGCAGCATAAGAAATAATAAAAAAATCTTTTTCTTTAAACATTTTCCAATGTAAGTGTTACAACAAACAGCAACATGGTAGACTATCTTTTTATTTAAAAATAAAAAAATGAGTTTATGTAACCAGGTTGAAAAAACTAGGTTTTTTTTTTTTAAGTCATCCACAGAATTTGCCATTTGCAGTAGATTTCAATGTAGACGTCATGGTATCTTGCTGAAAAAAATCTAGGTCCAGCATACTAAAGGACATATAAATTTAGCCAGCAGGTACTATGCTGAATTGTGGCCAAATGGTAATCATCTTTCGGTAATTAGTGATCTGGACTGGATTTTGAGCCAGTGAACTAGGTATAAAAGGTTCATATTCCATTTCTTTGACCTATTAGTCACGGGGAATTTTTAACAAAATCACAGGCAAACGTCATAGGCATGACTTTCACAGGTGTTGTGCACCCATTACCATTTTGCTCACATAAAGGGGGTTCCAGCAGCAGCACTCTCTTTATCACAGAGTGGTGTCAAAATTCCCTATCCTACCAGAAATAAAAATAGCCAACAACAAGCATTTGATAGGGCAAAATCAATACTGTATAATGCACACTCACAAGGAGAGTTATAGGATGAATGTTTGTGTAGTACTTTGAACATTCAAAAAAGCACTATGGCTCCAGTCCAGCAAAGCATTTAATTATGTGCAGAACTTTGTCTGTGATTAGTTTCACTGAAACCAATGACACTATTCACTTGCTTAAAAGTAATGCACATGCTTTATGTGCTTTCCTGCATACTAACTGATGTGACTGCCACTGAACAACACTAACAACCCTCTGTGAAATTCCCTCCATTTCCCCAACATCCAGCTCACAATTCCTGGATCATGACTTTTATTTTGTGAATAAAGCATTAAAAAGTCATTAACTAGCTTAACCTGATTTGTGGTTTAATTCCATTTAAGAGTTGAAGTTGTACTTTGTTTGTATGTACAGTGAAACACTGGTGCTACAGTGCTAAAGTCTGTTTGGACAGAATCCAGAGTAGCACTGCTCATTACACAAGTTTAATCTTTCAAACACCAAATTTATGAAGTTCTATGACCTTTGATTCAAGATTTGCACAGATCTAGGGACTCTCACCACAGTTACTTGGATATCAAGGGATGCACAACCACGGATGTTTATACTGAAACATACAAATCTGGCTAAAAGCAGTATGATTGCCAGTAATAAAAATGAGCGACACAGAAGAAAGGTTATTTAACAAAGGTGGTGAGCAATTAGGCATAACTGCATTTAATACCATAAAGATTGCTAGTGACAGAGGATGTGGAAAAAGCTAATGTATTCAATGCTTTTTTTGCCTCTGTCTTCACGAACAAGGTCAGCTCCCAGACTACTGCACTGGGCAGCACAGCATGGGGAGGAAGTGACCAGCCCTCTCGGAGACAGAAGTGGTTCAGGACTATTTAGAAAAGCTGGACGAACACAAGTCCATGGGGCCGGATGCGCTGCATCCGAGGGTGCTAAAGGAGTTGGTGGATGTGATTGCAGAGCCATTAGCCATTATCTTTGGAAACTCATGGCGATCGGAGGAGGTCCCGGACGACTGGAAAAAGGCGAATGTAGTGCCCATCTTTAAAAAGGGGAAGAAGGAGGATCCAGGGAACTACAGGCCAGTCAGCCTCACCTCAGTCCCTGGAAAAATCATGAAGCAGGTCCTCAAGGAATCAATTTTGAAGCACTTAGAGGACAGGAAAGTGATCAGGAACAGTCAGCATGGATTCATGCCTGACTAATCTAATTGCCTTCTATGACGAGATAACTGGTCTGTGGATGAGGGGAAAGCAGTGGACGTTTTATTCTTTGACTTTAGCAAAGCTTTTGATACTGTCTCCCACAGTATTCTTGCCAGCAAGTTAAAGAAGTATTGACTGGATGAATGGACTATAAGATGGATAGAAAGCTGGCTAGATCGTCGGGCTCAACGGGTAGTGATCAATGGCTCCATGTCTAGTTGGCAGCCGGTATCAAGCAGAGTGCCCCAAGGGTGGGTCCTGGGGCCGGTTTTGTTCATTATCTTCATTAATGATCTGGACGATGGTGTGGAGTGCACCTTCAGCTAGTTTTCAGATGACACTAAACTGGGAGGACTGGTAGATATGCTGGAGGGTAGGGACAGAATACAGAGGGACCTAGACAAATTAGAGGATTGGGCCAAAAGAAATCTGATGAGGTTCAACAAGGACAAGTGCAGAGTCCTGCACTTAGGATGGAAGAATCCCATGCACTGCTACAGACTAGGGACCGAATGGCTCGGCAGCAGTTCTGCAGAAAAGGACCTAGGGGTTACAGGGGATGAGAAGCTGGATATGAGTCAACAGTGTGCCCTTGTTGCCAAGAAGGTTAACGGCATTTTGGGCTGTATAAGTGGGGGCACTGTCAGCAGATCGAGGGATGTGATCGTTCCCCTCTATTCGACATTGGTGAGGCCTCAACTGGAGTACTGTGTCCAGTTTTAGGCCCCACACTACAAGAAGGATGTGGAAAAACTGGAAAGCGTCCAGCGGACGGCAGCAAAAATCATTAGGGGACTGGAACACATGACTTATGAGGAGAGGCTGAGGGAACCGGGATTGTTTAGTCTCCAAGAGAGTGAGGGGGGATTTAATAGCTGCTTTCAGCTACCTGAAAGGGAGTTCCAAAGAGGATGGATCTAGACTGTTCTCAGTGGTAGCAAATGATAGAACAAGGAGTAATGGTCTCAAGTTGCAGTGGGGGAGGCTAAGGTTGGATATTAGGAAAAACCTTTTCACTAGGAGGGTGGTGAAGCACTGGAATGCGTTACCTGGGGAGGTGGTGGAATCTCCTTTCTTTGAGGTTTTTCAGGTTAGGCTTATCAAAGCCCTGGCTGGGATGATTTAGCTGGGAATTGGTCCTGCTTTGAGCAGAGGGTTGGACTAGATGACCTCCTGAGGTCCCTTCCAACCCTGATATTTTATGATTCTAAGGTCTGATTCTTTGTATATTTTCTCTGCTTGTTATTGCTCACTCAAAAAGCCTCACAATACGATAAAATAGAATGATACAGTATTGCATTTCACCACTTTTAGGCTGTTAGAAACTCCCCATTCTTAGCATACACCTCACAGGAACACATTTTTTAAGTAATAACACAGGAAAGCGCAAACTATAAGTTATTGAGGAATGCACTTGGTAACTTTCCAATAGTTTGAGATAGACACGTAACTTGCATAAAATGGATCGGATTACAGCTGTCTATTTTTTTTAAATATGGAGGTACAGCTTGTAAGGTCTACTGGTTTCAGCATGTAAAGCTTCATCCTAACATGAGCAGAATCTTGCCATCTGATTGAATGAACACTGAGCACTGCATGCTGGGACCTGTAGTTCCACAGGCTGCACTATCAAATTAAAAGGAAAGGGCAGACAAGAGTCTCTGAAGAACTCTGAGCTATGTTTGTGCTGCAGGCCATGCTTTGGCCATTCATGATGTGAAGGCCAGGCACCTACCCTGGCATAATATTTAAGGACCTGATCCAAAGCTCATCAAAATGAATTAGAGTTTCTTCATTAACTTGAATGGGCTTTGGATCAGACCTCAAGAGTCTTACGAAGAGTAAGATCAATTTGTTTTTCTCATCCAATCATGACCCCCAAGGGAAAAAAAACTCACCATCTGGTTCCAGTCCACAGCCACTCTGTGTGTATAACTAAAAAGGAACACGCCCAGGAAGAGGATGGACAGAAAACAAGCCGTCACCGACACAAACATCACCCATCCCTGCAGTAGAGGCAGCGGAACTCGAGAGGCAGCTACCAAAATCCAGACAAGGGCTCCAAACAGCTGCAGGAAAAACCAAATCCATGATGAGAACGAAGGCTTAAAGCTGAATCTTGTCCAGCCCCTTTGGACTTGAACTAACCGTTAATTTATTTATTTTTTAAAGCTTTCAGGTGCAATTTTTTGGTACTGGGGTAAAATTTTCAAAAAATCCCCTTTTGAAAAGTGACTTAGCTACTCAGAAGGCTAAGTAATTGAGAATCAGTAAGACACAAGATTGTAAAGCCTTTTTGAAAATGGGATTTAGGCTCTTAAATCACGTAAGTGCTTCTGAAGTTTCACCTGAAATCTGATTTTGAAGGAAATACAGGACAAGTGAAAACATTATCAAAATGCACTTATCCTAAAATATAAATAAATAAATCTGTATCTGTTGCAACTGGCATACCAAGGATGTAAATGAGATTGAAATCTAAATCTTATAGCCATATATAGTTTTGTTAGCTCCCAGCGGATACAGATATGAGATAATTATAAATGTATAAACCAAATTTATGGTTTAGACCCAAAAGAGTAAAAAGCAACAAGCAAAAGTAAAATATAAAAGACTAGCATAACTATGGTGGGCTGCTGAGTCATGAAAATCGGATAAATGAAGTATATTAGCCAAGTTCTTTTCACATTAAGAGCTATATAATTAGGAGCAGAATTTATTCCTACAAATTTAAGTTGCAGCACACTGATCTTCTCAATGAATGACTTCAACCATAAACACAGATCTCTATAAGAGTGATACTTGCTTCCTGAAATGTGTTCCTTTAATACAGGAAGCCTTAACTTGATTGAAATAGAACTCATCTATTAACTGAGCACTGCTCAAATTTATATTGAGTTACCATTTCCAGTTCAACCCTCCCAGAATTCAGAGTATAAATTTGGAGATAAAATTTTCACACTGCAAGAAGTACAACTTCAAAATAATGCCTGCCCAGTTTCTTTTGAACCTAGGACCCCAGACTCAATTTTCAGAAGAAATTGCCTGGAGTTGGAGTAAGTATAAAATACAACCATATGTGGATAAAATGAGGCTGATGATGTAAAAATGCACTAGCAGCATGCATTCAGCATTCCCATGGATTAGTGTCATCAACCTTCAAGTTACTTTCAAGGGTTTCTCTTCAGGTTTTAGTTGTTGTGAGGAAGCAGGTTTTCTCCATCTTTATAGCACTGGAGACTCAGAACATTATTCAGAGAACAGACATGTAATGCATTGTAAGAGCACAAGCTTTTCTGTAACATCCCACGGCTGAGCCTGGCAGCAAGGTTACTCATTTAAACATCCACTGTGATTCTGAGCAGGCTCAATATCAGAGAAACACCAAGACTAAACTGAGAACGTCAGCACCTGTTACATAAGCTAGCAAATCCATCAAGCAGTTCATTTTTGGTCACTGCCGATCTGGGCTCCAGTCCTGACACTGGAGCCACACCAGCAGATCCGTGGACCAATGTGGAGGCCATTGTGGAAAAAGTCAGGGCTGCATGTGGAGGGGAAGGCAGGCCCTATAGGGATCCATTTGAAAGATTGGAGCCCAGGTCAGTATTCAAATCTGTGACTGTAAGAAGAAAGACATTCCGGGTGAAATCCTGGAGTGATTGAAATCAGTGGGAGTTTGCCATTAACTTCAATGAGGCCAGCATTTCACCTCTAATCTGTTAGTAAAAAGAAAAAGAGTACTTGTGGCACCTTAGAGACTAACCAATTTATTTGAGCATAAGCTTTCGTGAGCTACAGCTCACTTCATCGGATGCATACTGTGGAAACTGCAGAAGACATTATATACACAGAGACCATGAAACAATACCTCCTCCCACCCCACTCTCCTGCTGGTAATAGTTTATCTAAAGTGATCACTCTCCTTACAATGTGTATGATAATCAAGTTGGGCCATTTCCAGCACAAATCCAGGTTCTCACCCCCCCCCCCAAACTCACTCTCCTGCTGTTAATAGCCCATCCAAAGTGACCACTCTCTTTACAATGTGTATGATGGAAATGGCCCACCTTGATTATCGTACACATTGTAAAGAGAGTGGTCACTTTGGATGGGCTATTACCAGCAGGAGAGTGAGTTTGTGTGTTGGGCGGGGGTGGGTAGAGGGTGAGAAAACCTGGATTTGTGCTGGAAATGGCCCAACTTGATTATCATACACATTGTAAGGAGAGTGATCACTTTAGATAAGCTAAAAGAAAAGGAGTACTTGTGGCACCTTAGAGACTAACCAATTTATTTGAGCATAAGCTTTCGTGAGCTACAGCTCACTTAAGCTATTACCAGCAGGAGAGTGGGGTGGGAGGAGGTATTGTTTCATGGTCTCTGTGTATATAATGTCTTCTGCAGTTTCCACAGTATGCATCCGATGAAGTGAGCTGTAGCTCACGAAAACTTATGCTCAAATAAATTTGTTAGTCTCTAAGGTGCCACAAGTACTCCTTTTCTTTTTGCGAATACAGACTAACACGGCTGTTACTCTGAAACCTAATCTGTTAGTAATCATGATGCTGCTCCTGCAAACTCTTACCCTTGTCCTACATGAGTAGTCCCATTGAAGTCAAGGGGACTGGTCATGCCAGTAAGGTTAAGCATGCATGTTAGAGTTTGAGGGATCCTAAAAACAAGCACACTCTATAGGTTTACTTCCTTGGACTTCTGAATCTGATCTAAACGTGTGGAGGATCAAGATTGTCTTGATTAAAATAAAACAGTGTAAAATACATACACAATGTTCTGTGGCCTGCTGCCCCGTAAATCAAACGGAACAGGAGCCAAAAACACAGCTCTGAGTGGAAATCAGGAGAACAAACGCCTCCGGTGTTACTTCAGCACAATGGTATGTTGCACAGGATCCCCCTTCTGGGGAAGCTCTGAGGTGGGAAAACGGGATTAAGCAAAATGGTGGTGCCCCCCCCTCACACACATTCATTCCCCCCGCTGACTGTCCTTCCGCCCGCCCCTTGCATAAAGTCCAACGCTCCAGTTCTCCCGCAGCCTCCTTTGGGGGGCAGCGCCTGGCAGGAGAATGCGGAGTCCGCTCTTGCTCTCCGGTTTCCTGCTCCTGGAGCAGAACCTCATGATGCTGCCACCACCCGCTCCAGCTGCTGCACCTTGACCACCTACAAAATGGCAGGTTAGCAGCGTGGGGGGGCTGGTGGCAGGGCGGCGGTGCCGCCTGTTGGCAGCAGCCTGGGCTCCGGCACAGGGGGGACGGGCAGGTGTGCACCGCCCGCCCCCGGTTCGGTATGCACGACACTGGCCCTGCTGCTCGGGGCACTTCACATCGCAGCCCAGCGGCGGCGAGGCGCTGGGGGCTCAGCGCAACAAGTGCCGGGCCGCGGAGGAGGAAAGATTTGTTAGGGGTTTTGCTGGCGGAGGAGAAGCTGGTACTCAAGGCAGGAGCGAGTGGGAGCCGCGGGGAGTGCAGCACTAACGGGGGGGGGAGAAGAGGGGACCGGAGAGGAGACCGCGGCTGAAGAGTGCGGCGATGGGGGGAAGAGAAGAGGGGACCGGGGCTGAAGGAAGGGGGGAGAGGGGAGCCCGTGCCCAGCAGCAGCGCTCGGCCCGGGTCACTCACAATCTCCAGGCAGATGAAGACTCCCGAGTAGGTGCGCAGGATGTCCAAGCCGACGGGCAGCGTGATCCTGGGCGCGGGGAAGTAGGCGGCGGGGTTGGGGGGCGGCGGCATGGAGCCCCCACTGGCCGACATGCTGCCGCCGAGAGAGCCGAGCTCTGCTGGCCCTGACGCGGTCGCAGGTTGCGGGGAGGCTACGCCCAGAGCAGGTGCAGGAAGCGTGTGTGCAACACTCAAGCACGGAGACGGCCCCTGCGCCGGGCGCCGCCCAGTCCCCAGCCCGGGGGCTGCTTCACGCGCCGCCCGCCCCGCCTGGAAGCGGCAGGCCCGGTTCGCAGGGACGCCGCCAGCGACGCTGCCTGGCCCGGGGGCTTCAGGCAGCAACGGCCCCCTTTCTTCTGGCGACGAGCCCAGACTCGGCCCCCGGGGTGTTCCCAGCTCAGGGCCACACACACACCGTAGCCCTCCAACCCCTGGGGGTGATCCCAATTCAGGGCCAGACACCTTCCCCCTTCAATCCCCTGTCGCAGTTAGCTAGAGACAACCCCCCTCCCCGCCTGTAGCCCCCTGGCCCCTGGGGTGTTCCCAAACTGCACTCAGGGCCAGAGCCCTTCCTGCAGGCCCCTACTCCTCCAGTTCCCGGGGGTTTTGCAATCTGAACCCAGGGCCGGACCCCTCCTGCAGTCAGATCACCAAAATCATGAGACTGGTTTAATCATGAGATTTTAAAAATAATTTGGAATTCTTTTTATTTGCCTTCTCATTAAAGAAACTTTAGGGTTCACAGTTTCAAGCTTTATCTCTGCAACCACAAAGGCTTAGAAATCTACCTTTAAAAAATCAACCAGCCAGAACAGGTTATAATGCAGTCACTTGACTCCAGGAGTTGGCGTTTTAAGAAAAACATCAAGTAGCACAAGGTTTATGAAGAAATGATGAGACTTCAACATTAAAGGCAGATTTGTTTATAATACGCAGTTTTCCATTCAAAGTACAATAAGAAATTGCATATATACTTTAGTAACATCCAAGTTTAGAAAAGGGTAATAGGACAAAAGACTATCACTTACGTTCCAGTAGGGGAAAATGTTGTTAATGAAAGACCAAACTTATAGCCAGAAATACATCTGGAAACGCATTCATCATGCCACTTATAATAAACTTTATTATCTCAGTTCATTTATCTTTTATTTAAAAGATATAAAATAATCCTAAAACATTTTTTCTTGTTTGCTGTTCCGGTTCAGGATTTTGAGATTAGGATGGATAGGTACTCTGTAGAGATAGCTGGGGGATTGCCCCACTCAGAATATAGATCGGAATAAAATGAAATAAACTTCATCCCAAATCTGTGTGCCATTCTCAGCTGCTTTTTTTTTTTTTTTCTTTAACAGAATTACTTTTTCAGATTAAAGGATTCATGCCACGGTAGCTGCTCTGCTTCCTCAGGCTACATGATTCACTGATTATGCCTCAATTTTTGGGTGACTGTGGTGAGGTACCTTGTGTTTGATTTTCAGAAGTGCTAAGTATTACAACCTGCCCCATTACCCTTCTGTACGGACATAAGTCTGTTGTAAGAGGGCTCAGCCACTGGGTCCCACATGGTTTTAAACCAGTGGCTTTCAATCTTTCCACAATAATGTACCCCTTTCAGGAGTCTGATTTGTCTTGTGTACCCTGAAGTTACATCTCACTTAAAAGCTACTTGCTTACAAAAGCAGACGTAAAAATACAGAAGTGCCACAGTATGCTACTACTGAAAAATTGCTTACATTCTCATTTTTACATATAATTATAAAATAAATCAATTTGAAGAGAAATATTGTACTTTCATTTCGGTGTATAGTATATGGAGCAGTATAAACAAGTTATTGTATGAAATTTCAGTTTGTACTGACTTTGCTAGTGGTTTTTGGAGGCTGTTATAAAACTAGGCAAATATCTTGATGAGTAGATGTACCCTATGGAAGACCTCTGCATCCCTATTGGGTATGTGTGCCCCTGGTCAAGAACCATTGTTCTAAACCAGCTGGATCTGGCCTGAGGCTCATCACTGTTTCTAATTCGGGGTCTACAGGGCACATTCCCAAGCTCAGATCGCTTGTCTGAGCCCTTCATTGAGACATGAGACTCCACAGTTTAGCAGCCCTAGAGCCCCAAACCAGTGCCTTAGACCTCTTGAGCCCTCTAGTTACTTTCATACAGACCCTCAAGTGTCTCACATAGGCTGTGGGTCCTCTGCCCTTCTAGTTTAACCCCTTCAGGGACAGGTTAGCCACAGTCCCTTAATTCTTAAAAGCACTCAAGAGTTCTAGATCTTTGACAAACAAAAAAAAAAGTCCTGAAATGCCCCCTTTCTTAATTTTTTCACTAGGAGTTGGAGGGTTGTCAGCATTTCAGGCTGGACAGAGTCCCCCGGTCCTTTTCTCTCCTGGATGCCCTACTTCCAATGGTGATGATCAGCCCCTTGCAGAGTTGCACCTCCTTTTAAATAATCTCTCTCTCTCTCTCTCTTTGCCACGTTTTCCTCTGGGATGTTCCAGACCCTTCCCCAACCCGTGGGTTCCAGTACAGAAAGTCCATCATTCCATGGGATAGGGAGTAGAAAGAGAATTGGAGCCAATGGCCATCAATTGCTCTATTGATGGTTTCTCAGGCCATGTCTACACTACAAAATTTTGTTGACCTACAGCCACTGCAGTTATGAAATCACTTGTGTGTGTGCACACCTGGTTCCTTGTGTCGGTGGTACACATCCTCACCAGGAGCACTTGTATCAATTGTAGTGTCAGCATGTGGCATTGTGGGACAGCTCTGAAAGCCAGTAAAATTGACGTAGGCAGTGCAGTTTCTACAGTGATTCTGCATCGACCTAATTACATCGACCATGACTCTATGCCACTCGGGGAGATGGTGTTACTAAATTGGCATAAAGAGTCACTTACATCAGCCAGAGCCAAATGTAAGCGAAGACGCTTCCACAACTAGGTTGATTCAAGGCAGCTTACATCAACCTAACTGTGTCATGTAGACCAGATCATCCTTCAGTGAGTAATTGAGCAGCTTTCCTGAGCAGGCACCGTCTGCAGTGTTATATGATAAGATGCCTTAGACAAGTTTAGATGGGTCATTAAGCCACACAAAATTGAGTCCACAGCCTGGTACAGAATATCCCACCCTGTCACAGAGAGACCCAGATGTCCCATTGAATTTAGGTACCTCAGAATTGGGGCATATACAGTTTGTGACACTTCTGAAACTGATTTTTAAATTACTATTTTGTGTCAGGTTTTATTTTCTCTCTGTTACTATCATAATGTTCATTCTTTGGCTATAATTTTTATTTGAAATTTAAATCCTGGTGAATCATTGGTTTACTAGAATGCCATAATCCAATGGATTATGTCAGTTGAGCAATGCTATCCATGGGGAGAAGTATGCGTGGGTGGATTTCTTCCTGATCAGCGTATATTGTGAACCATGTGATTTAATTATCGTTATCTTATCCTGCATAAGTAGAAATGTTAATGATTTGGTCATAAAATTATCCAGTTCTTTTATTACTGAGGCACAGAATTGGCCGTTGACCTTCAGCAGCAGCAAATTCTACAGGCTGATTATGTGTTATGTGATGTCATTTTTCCTTTCATTTGTTCTAAATAAATATACCATTAGTTTCAACCTGCACATTCCTTTAAGCCACGGTCGTAATAAGCAAAGCTCTTCTGAAATCAGAGGTGCTTTCTATAGTAATGCCCAAATTTTGCCTTTGGATGCACATGCAGAGGATGTGACTGAGCCCAAATCAGAGTTAGGGCAGGATTTAGCCTTAAATCCTACGTGTTTAAATGGAAATAGGGAATTTATCTTGAAACATCTCAGTTTGGCCATGTAGTATTACATTATTGCTTGTGATAATTTACATACACACAGAGTTTGATGCGTCTTGATTCCTGCTTAAAAGTCTGTTGAATTCTTTAGTAGGTTAGTGCCATAAAATAATTGAAAATTGAAAATTTAGTTTCAGTGACTTAGGCAGATGTTTATGTTGGACATCTTGGTTACTAGTGTCTTCATGTAAACAATCACCTCTTGGCATCTTATTGAGATGAACTGATGCTGCTATTTCATCTGGCTGGCTGCAGAGTCAACAAGATGACAGGAGTGTATTGATAACAGTACTTAGCAAGGTCTAGCTCTTCAACCATTATTTTAAAAAAATTATGCAAACAAGCTCTAAACTACTAGATAGCTATTGCCCTCGCTGTCCATATATCTTATATTTCAGCATAGTGTAAAGCCCCAGATTGTCATTGAAGTCAAAAATTAATTGCTGTAGTTTTTAAGATGACAAAATTATTCATAAGGAGTGTGAGCATGAAACACAAATTCATACCCATGATTTTCTCTACATCACAGTGGCAATGGTTAGTGTTGTGATGGCATTGATAGAATGAGACTTTGGTTTTTAAAAGTAGGTTAATTGCTTTAAAATTATCCCATATATTGCTGTCAACAAAGAGAGAATCCTTTGAATTTTCCATTTTTCTGCTTATTTAATTTAAGTTCTTTTGGAACATACATTAGACGATGCTAAATATATTATGTAGAAGATGTAATAAGCATCAACGTTTGAATTAATTAATCATCAGTTATCTAGATTCCCAATATAACTATGTAGTATGTCCTTTTGTCTTTGACTAGTTATTTACTGATATGTGCACTGAATGTATGTAGAGTTGAAATATTTGAGCTTCTGTCTGCTGCATTTTTCCCAAAATGTGATAGACCAACATGTGGTGCCTCATACCTTTGAAGAAGCATGTCACAATGAGAAAAGGAGTACTTGTGGCACCTTAGAGACTAACCAATTTATTTGAGCATAAGCTTTCGTGAGCTACAGCTCACTTCATCGGATGCATACTGTGGAAAGTGTAGAAGATCTTTTTATATACACACAAAGCATGAAGAAATACCTCCTCCCACCCCACTCTCCTGCTGGTAATAGCTTATCTAAAGTGATCACTCTCCTTACAATGTGTATGATAATCAAGTTGGGCCATTTCCATCATACACATTGTAAGGAGAGTGATCACTTTAGATAAGCTATTACCAGCAGGAGAGTGGGGTGGGAGGAGGTATTTCTTCATGCTTTGTGTGTATATAAAAAGATCTTCTACACTTTCCACAGTATGCATCCGATGAAGTGAGCTGTAGCTCACGAAAGCTTATGCTCAAATAAATTGGTTATTCTCTAAGGTGCCTCAAGTACTCCTTTTCTTCTTGCGAATACAGACTAACACGGCTGTTACTCTGAAACATGTCACAATGATGTCTGGAAGCTGGCCACCCCAAACGCTACCGGTCAGCAGCAAACCAGTTTGGCACGGGGAGATCAACTGTTGGGGCCATTGTCTTGCAAGTGTGTGATGCCATGGAAAGCCTACCGTTGCACCAGTTTATAAGTTTGGAGGAGGAGGTTCAGG